TCTCATATGTATTGTCGGTCCAATCAGTCATATTAAACATAGGCACATACGTGCGAAACAATATTATGTACGAATCTAGAAAACATGAAGCTGTTGCAGTAACGAACATGCAGTATATCAGTGTAGCTTTCATTCGAAGGCATATATACGATCCCAGAGCCACATGTGCAGAGCTGTACCTTTATCGTCATTTCAATACGCACAACGTATAATTAAAATATCATTCACTAGACTCTATTGAGCCACAATACTGAACAAGTATCTACTTGCCTCAAATCATCACGTGAAGACTGTTCCGATATTAATGCATTCGCATCATTTCACTTGGCTGTGTTCTTAAATTACTGAAACATCCTACAGACAAGCTATATCCCGCCTGAATGAAGGAGTGACTTTATACATACCCCATTTGTAGTCAAAGCTGCCACGATCTTGCCTAGATCTATCACCGATCCGCCCCCAATACTAACCACCATGTCAGCGTTGGCCTCCACGGCACGCTCTAGTGCCAACTTGGCGATATCAACGGTTGGCTCTCCAAGAGATTGCATCTCAAACACAGCAACAGGGTTTAGCAGCGTGATCAAATCAGCATAGCGCGATTGTGTGCCGGTAACCACGTATACGCGTGAGCAGTTGAGGCCAGCTATCACGCCGGGTAGTTGTTTTTGGGCGCAACCTGCGCCAAAGATAATGCGAGTCGCCGTAGCAAATTCGAAACCGGACATGCTTACGAAGTGTGGAAACTAAACAATGTGGTATATTGTTGTGAAGTATCTTTTTCCGCCTAAATAGATACCATTTATATTTATTTGGATATTATACGTATCAAATACAGATATATATTGTTATTTTGTTTTCGAATTGATTTTATTAGATGGTATGATATAGCAGTGATTTATTGCGCATTTTTGAAGTCATCATACTCTTGTAACTGATAAATCTACTTATAGGACAACACATCGGCGCCTAAGAACGTTTGCCATGATGAATCACACACTTGCGACTAGTGCTGTAGTATGCACTGTACTGTATCCAACCTTAGCAGAAACAAGGCAAACAACGAGACAATCTTAGCCTCGTTCGTCACCAAAAAAGCCAACTTCTGCAAGAATCGTATTAATCCCATTCTCCGAGAAGCCCACATACTTTTGCACATATTTATCAACTATACCGAGCCATGGTGATATAGTTGAAAACGAAGCAACAAATGTGGTTCGCACTTAGTGTGCAAGTCAATAGATCGGCTCAAATTAAAAATTGCAGATAGAATCGTAACCTTAACTATGTTCGAAAACTATATTGTTTACCGTGTACAACCGTGCTAATCACCCAAGCACTTTCTACCGTCCGTTCGCACTTGTGTTTATAATGGCACACACGCACGGGTATGGAACATACAAAAAAAATCTGCAACTTCACCTCGACACCCACTATTTGGTCGAGGTACAGAAATCTCGATTATATAACTTCCACTATCTAATCGGTTGTGATCGGAGGCAGGCCGCACAGATTTCTCAACTACTCATTCTCACCCCTCTTTACTTAACTAGCTATCTATTTACTTATATGGTTGTGCTCGGTTTGCGATTCAAGTCCATGTGCGCAGAGATGAGATGTCCCGATGACAAGGCTGCCAACAGCGAGATTTCTCCCGCCAGAACAGTGCCCGCCACCACACGCGCCAACGCTCTAGCGCCATCTCCAGGGTTTTCCTGGGGAATGTTCCCTAACGCCATGCTGAGGCATGCCTTGGCCGCTGGTAGTCCGGTACCCCCGCCAATGGTCCCGACCTCGATGGACGGCATGGTTACTGACACATACAGATCCTCGCCATTGTTTATCAGTTCCATCTGAGTGATGCATGTAGAGCTCTCGACGTTCTGTGCGGGATCCTGGCCCATGGCAAGGAAGCATGCGGTGACCACATTGGATGCGTGTGCGTTGAAGCCTCCGATTGAACCAGCCATTGCACTACCTACTAAGTTCTTTGTGACGTTTAGTTCCGCCATGGCCGCTGGGGTTGTTTTAAGTACCTTACGCACCACATCGCCGGTGAGTGTCACCCCGGCCACCACACTCTTGCCTCGGCCATTGATCCAGTTCAATGCCGATGGCTTCTTATCGATGCACATGTTACCCGACAATGATACCAGACGGAGCTCTGGGAAGTGATTCTGCTGCAGATCAGCCATGACAGTGTTGATACCTTTGCCTACCATGTTCATGCCCATAGCGTCGCCAGTGGAGCAGCTGAAGCGGAGATATACGTGTCTACCAGCAACTGTGGCATCCACCTCTGCGAAAAAAGGGTAAATTGCGTATTAGTACTGGTTCTTTTATGGGAGTGCGAATCGTGTTCAATGGATTATGCAAATTATATTATGAAAACTCTCACATCAAGGCCGTTTTTGTCTAACGGAGTTGGTTGCATCGCATGCCTATGTAAAACAATGAACAGCTTGCATTTGATTTGTTTCCGTTCGCCGAAAAGGCAACCGCTGCTACCGTTAGCTGGTCATACTTAAGAACGCTATCATTGAACTATAAAAAATTTACAGACGCTGAAGGCCAAAGACGTGCATGATAATTTGTTTCAATATATAACTGCCACTGAGACAGACATACTTTGCAGCTTTCCGAAGCGGGTGGTGGACGAGAATACTTCGCGCAGGTAGTCAATCCGTTGGGGTTCTTCAATCCACTTCTTTAAGTGGGCGGCATGCACAACCGTTGGCATAGTAACCACAGGCGCACGGGTCATGCCTTCCGATAGTACTTCAGAACTAGCACCTGAAAAGACAGTATTGCAGTATTTCATATATAAAACCGACCTCCGGTATATTTGTATTATGTTGGACCATAAATAATAAAAAATGCATCGCGGCACTTTACCATATGACTATCATGTTTGATCATAAATCAACAAAAAATACATCGCTGCACTCTACCATATGACAAGACCGTACCATACCCAGACTAAATTACCTCGTTACAATTAGTACCCTAAATTTTTCATTTGCTTGTGAATAGATCTACAGATAATCGGGAGGGTCGTATCTGAACAGAATGCCCGGGTATCTCCGCTCGGAATTAACACTACGGTAAAGAGGAACATACAAGTTTCGTCCGTCGGAACGATCGGAGCAAAATAACCCCCCCCCCAATAGGACGTGCACAAAAGATTGTTCTCTGAATCATATAGTATTCTTCAATATCGAACAAACATACGAGTGAACACCTGGCAATAACCTTGCGAGTTACCAGCATGCAACAGGTAGTTAGCATTGCAACAAATATTGATAGCCTCCTAGCTTTAGCTGAACGTTTGGCGGCTCATATATACATACATACACACCAACGTATATATATATATATATATATACGCACACACACATATATATATATATATGTATACACACATGTATATATATATATATATATATATATATATATATATATATAT